TTTTGAAAATCTCAAAACGTAATCGTCCGATGACACGCCACTGAGTAAGCGAATTTCGCCTGATAGCTAAAGCATAATTAGTTCATTTACATATTTCGTGGATTTCCACTCATTTTTTGATCTATGGGACTTCTCTGGATTCACGATAAGTTACGTGAACCTGAATTACTTCATGATATTGAAGTGATTTTGAAATTTCTCGTAAAAACTCTTTCAATTTTTGAAACAAAATTCAGCGTATGTCTGAAGCTTCATTCTGACAGTCGTGTATGAGGAATGAAATCAATCAGATGAGTAAAATGATACCTGTTTAGCGCAGTCGATACTGTCACGGAAAGGAAAGAATGCATCTGAGCTTACAACCACATTGTTCAATTTACTCAGCCATTCTTTACGTTCTTCCTCAAAACAAAAAACAAAAACTATATTCCTGGATTGTGTATACACAGTATCACCAATTTCCCATAATAATAGATGAATGAATTTGCCGTATTATAAAATATTAATCTAATCGTCAACAATCAACTGCATCGATACAGTGAAACGAAAAAAACTCTCATAGGAATAAACTATCACAACAACAGATTTGTGAACAATGTTGGAGTATTTGAAAAGTTGAATGAAACGAATTCCCTAGGTTCGGTTCTGGGCAATGATCATTTTGTTTATATTCATAATATACTCGTTCAGCTATCTTCCAAGTTGACAGCAGAAAACGAACAGTTGATGAGAAATACTTTTCAGCTGTCAGACGAATGCTTTTGAGTTATCTGAAGAACAAATTGAGATGCAGCTACAAAAATGTTGACTGATGTTTTACCGTTGAAATAGGATTGACACTTTCGGTGAAATAATTGCTCCAATGCTCTTGTGATATCTCAGATCCTAGTACGCCTGATACCATCACGTCAATTGCATTAGATTTATCCGCTCGACGAACGCTTGGCTTCCAGGGTAAGTTCAGCACACGCTTGTTCTGACGCATCCACCTCAAATTCAACTAGATTTTACAACAGGATCAACGAATCTATAGTCGTTTGCCGAAGTGTTTTGTCTAAAACGCATCATAACAGAAGTCAGTCCTTGAAACCTGAGAAACCTTCGCATAGAAGTTCGCGATTTTAATGATGTTCCATTCAAAAAAACGTGAAAAAAAATTTGGTATTATTCAAAAAAAGAACGACGATTCCAAGTTATTGATGAAGTAATGCATGAAAAACTGATCATATGAATAAAAGTGATCACTGGTGATTTAGCAACTATCGAAAATTCAATGCATTGTTCAATGAGTGGAATACCGTAAACGTTGTTGCTTAATTTCTCAATGGGCTTCTCAAAGTGTTTGACTGTTTCAAGTAATTCATGTTATTGTTTGATGGGCGGTGCCGTTTGCAGAACATGAAATGAAATGGGCATTTAACATTTGCTAAATATAGCGAAATGTGCAGAAATCTCACAATATATGTTTACATTAACACAGCTGCTGAGTGTATTTTAGTGATGATCGTCTTCTACAATACTTTTTTGCTATGTTTCTATTTTATTCCTTTCGTTGAATGTCTTCTCATGTTTAAACAAGGTTATAAATTCAACTTCATTGGATCTTATTTTTTCATTTATTTTATTTTTACGATGCAGATACATGTTCTAATCAACAGATATTTTCAATTGTTACTTAATGATAGCTTAACAATAATTCATCGAAACTCTTGGAATTTTTGATCGCTGTGATCATATAATCATTGCTAGAGATTGATCGATGAAACTAGTGGTAAATCAATCAAAGTGAGAAACAAAGAATGAATAAACATGAGTGCTGGCTTCTTTTTAGTAATTTAGAGTTTAGCAAATGATCGAAAAAATTTCAGTGGAATTCGACGATGACTGCATGAGAGCAATGTGCGAAACTGACTCAGGTTGTGTACCGAAAGGCTGCTCCAGAGATATTTACGGTCGACTTGGATGTGGCTATTTTCGACTAAACATCTACCAATACAAAGTGAGATAAANTAACAAAACGATTAGATTACTAAAATCAGATTATAGACCTGAAAACTTTTCGAAAATTTATAAAATATTATGAAAAAATTTCCCTTTGACAATTCAGTTCAAGTGTTCAATTGCTTTTTAAGAGAGAGCAAAAATGATCGCCGATGAGAGCATTACCGAAGAAATGTTTTAGCAATGCTACCAACCGGGCAGGCTGGATGATCAGGACGAGGATGAAGCGTGGATTGCGTGTTCAGAAGATTATCAATGTTCACAACAGTGCCTTAGGGTATGTATTTTCATTGAACCAGGTTTCATTGAAACAAACCAAACAGATTTGCAATAGATTCGAAAATAATTTTCAGTGTTTTGATTGAAATGGAACCAAAAGCTGACCATTCAAAATGCTCAAGACAACTGCTGTGGTTTAGCGAACGTAGAATATCATGCATATGCGAATGTGTTTTAGCGATTTTCATTAGGAAATGGGGGAAATTTTAAAAATTGCTTTTCGTGCATACAAATTAAACTTTCATAGTGATTTTGCCGTTACAAAACTCCTCTTTGCTCGCCTACCAATGGAACACTTTTTTCGATGTGTAGAAAAATGTTTCGCTTTTCGAGCTAAAAAATAGACGAAACAATTCGTTTAAGCAGTGAATTCAGAATA